ATATATATATTTATGATAAAAAAAATTTTTAATGGTTTTAGTTTCAGTTAACAATAATAACTCTTGTACAATTAGATCTCAAATATGAGCTGATAGCAATATAATATTTTACAAATCTGTAATATCGGCTGATAACTGGTATGGTACCAGTATATCATGATACCTAGATTCATTGTGAAACAAACAATGAGGCTACAAGTGGGCTTTGATATTATTAAATGTCCCCCTAATGTTTCATATGCAGAAATGTTGTCTCTTTCCTCCTGTAGGTGTCATCAACAATCGCTCAGACCCCAAACCAGTATCAGAAGGTGGAGATGCATCTCCTGTCAGTCTGTCCATCTGTGAACCTCTCCCTGTCATTGACATGCTTCCAGATGACAGTCAGGACAGTGGCAGGTAAGAAAGAAGGAAAAGGAATGAGAAGAAGCAGATATAAAAACAACACATAAGAAAATGAAAAATATTAAACAAACATTTAGCATACTTTTTAAGTTGTACAGAAGTAGTTACAGTCTTACTTTGTACTACTTAACTAAGGAAGGGTGGAAAACTTCCCTGCCTGCTTTGTCTCGGGGAGTGTGCTGTGTCCCTCCTGTGCTGCTGCTCCTGCTGCTGCCCGCAATGTACGCTACCCTCCTTAAGGACAACAAAGACCAAGACAATCCCTTACTGCGCATACGCGCCTCCCTCCCTTTCCCCTTCTATCCTAGCTCCCTTTCTTCTCACTTTCATTTTTTTCTCTGCATTTTGCCGCCTCTTTTTGTTTTTTACCTCTTTGTCCGTTTGTTCCTTGTCCCACCTGATGTTTTGCAGTGTCAGTCATTTTTGTTAGCTTTCAGTTTGCAGTTTATCCGTACCGCAGTCTTTCTTCACATCTGGTCAGCGCTATGTCCCGCAATGTTGCGCCAAGGCACGACGCTATAAAAATAAGCAGATTCTGTCTGAATTTGAGCAAACATTATTACTGCCCAACTATTTGAAAGGTTATGTTTTTGCTTCTTCATTTAGTAGGTAGATATTTAGCAGATGCTATCATCCAAAGTGACTTGCTGTGCACGAATGACAAATTTCGCTGGAGTAACCTGATATTCTGCAGTTTGGTACAGTGGTGATAGTTACTTGTGGGAACTGAACCAGCAACCTTCGGTTTTCAAACATAAACATAACTTAAAGGGTTAGTTCACCCAAATATGAAAATTCTGTCATTAATTACTCACCCTCATGTCGTTCCAAACCCGTAAGACCTTCGGAACACAAATTAAGATATTTTTTGATGAAATCTGAGAGCTTTCTGACCCTGCATAGACAGAAACACAACTGGAATGTTCCCAGACCCAGAAATGTAGTAAGGACATCGATAAAACAGTCCATGTGACATCAGTGGCTCAACTTCAATACAAGAATACTTTTCGTGCGCAAAGAAAGCAAAAATAACATAACTTGTTTAACAATTCTTCTCCCTGAGTTATCGTCTTCCACCATTTTGGAGAGTACCACGACGCATGCGTGCACTTTCTCCTGAACGTAATCAACGTAATCAGCGTTGTTTACATTCAGGAGAAAGCATGCGCATGCTGAACATAAACAACGCTGATTATGTTGATTACGTTCTGGGGAAGTGTGCGCATGTGTCGTGGTACTCTCCAAAATAGCGGAAGACGTTAACTCAAGAGAAGAATTGTTGAATAAATTGTTATTTTTCTTTGCGCACAAAAAGTATTCTTGTAGCTTCGCAAAATTGAAGTTGAGCCTCTGATGTCACATGGACTGTCCTTACTATGTTTTTGGAACGACATGAAGGTGAGTAATTAATGACAGAATTTTCATTTTGGGCTGAACTAACCCTTGAAGCTCCTCGTCTGAATGTCGTTCACTGCACAAAATAGTTTTCTGTCAGTATTTTTGTCTTGTTTTCCGGTACAAATATTTTTAAATTAAAGGGTTAGGGTCTGAGAGCTCTCACATTTCATCAAAAATATCTTAATTTGTGTTCCGAAGGTCTTACGGGTTTGGAACGACATGAGGGTGAGTAATTAATGACAGAATTTTCAATTTTGGGTGAACTAACCCTTTAAAAACTCAATGTATCTCCTTTACTTACTGTTTATAGTATATGGCATAAAACTAGCATTACTGGATTAGCTGTGCAGTTTTATTTTGCTCGTGCAACTGTCCTTCATGTGGAAACATTGTTTGTTGCTGGTGTTTGTTGTTGTAAGCTCTGTCTCGCTTTATTGTTGGCCTTGAGATTTTGTTCAGGGTAGTGTTGAGGTTAGTTGGTTTATAGTTGGAAGTTTTGGTTGGGTGTTTGTTGTTAAACGATTTGTTCTCTGTTATGCTGTAACTCTTCGTTCGCCCTATGTTTTTACAGAAAGAAGACAAGGTGGGTCTGCGTGATTGTCTCTGGGATTTTCTGCCAGCCTCAACTGCTACTGATACACACATGTTCTCTTACTAAACACAGTTTACATTACGTTTTATTATTCATACAGTAGAAAATATTGTACAATGAATGTCATGGTTTTTAAGCTTTAGATTCATATTTAGACTCACACAGACATTCATACTCACTGCATGGCTAAGTATGGTTCTTCTCAGGTTTTTGGGCTTTAGGGATTGAGGGGAGAAGTATCTGCTTTTTGGGACGCTTTGCACGAATGAAGCCCACTTATTAGCCAATAGTGTTTTATATCAGTATAATTGAGGTGTTCAAAAGCACGAGATGCTGTAAATGACATTAGAAAGAGCTGGAGATGTTTGTTAATGTGGATTCCAAAAGGGTCTTTGAACTGATGGGGCTGAATGAATCTCCCTGGTGAACTAGTGCTAAATAACATGTTACATAGTGGTTTTGACATCATTTGTCTTTAACATTTCACTTACTGTTTCTTCTTCATCACTGTTCAATTTTCTGTTTCTATCATCTGTTCATGTTACCTTTGGTCTGTCTCTAACCTCACTGTCATTTAATGTTCTTTCCATATTTCTACTACTTCATTACCCCTTTCCTTTCCTTTCCTTTCCTTTCCTTTCCTTTCCTTTCCCTTCCCTTAATGTCCCTTTCTTCCATGTAATTTTTCCTTCATTTTCTCTTTCATTTACTTTTTCCTTTATGACATTTTTTGTTTGCCTTTTCCTTCCTTCCTTTCTCTTTCTTTTTTGTTTCCTTTCCTTTCTTTTCCATTTTCTCCTATTTCTTTCCTTTCCTGTCCTGTCCCTTAATTTCCCTTTCTTCCATGTAATTTTCCCTTAATTTTCTCTTTCATTTACTTTTTCCTTTTTTCATTTCCTTCTTCCTTTATTACATTTTTTGTTTCCCTTTTCCTTCCTTCCTTTCTCTTCTTTCTTTTTTGTTTCCTTTTTCATTACCTTCCTTTTCCCTTTCCTCTTTCCTTTCCTTTACATTAATGTTCTTTCCTTCCTTTTCCATTTTCTCCTATTTCTTTCTTGTCCTGTCCTGTCCTGTCCCTTAATTTCCCTTTCTTCCATGTAATTTTTCCTTCATTTTCCCTTTCATTTACTTTGTCCTTTTTTCATTTCTCTTCCTCTTCCTTTATTATATTTTTTGTTTCCCTTTTCTTTTCTTTTCCTTTTTTTCCTTCCTTTCTCTTCTTTCTTTTTTGTTTGCTTTTTCCTTTCTTTCCTCTTCCCTGTATTTTCCTTTTTCTTATTTCCTAATTTCCTTATTCTTTCCTTATTCTTTTGTAATTCTTTTATTCTTTCCTAATTCATTTACTTTCCCCCATTCCTTTCTTTCCATTGCTTCCTCTTCCTTTTTCTTTCCCCTTTTCCCATCTTCCATCCTCCCCTTTTCATTCCCTGGTCTTTGCTTACTCTTTTTCCTATCTCTTCCTCTTTATTTTCCTGTTCTTTTGTTTCCTTTTTCCTTCCCTTTCCATTCTCTTTCCTTCCACTTTTCTTCCATTCTCTTTCCGTTTCTGGTTCTTCTTTTTTCTGTACCTTTTCCCTTACCTCAACCCCCCCACCCACTTCTCTTGGGTGTTCAGGAATGTGCGCCGCAGCGAGAGCCTTTGCGTGGAGCGCCGTCACTCTCGCCGTAGTGGCTCTACCCGGGCCAAGCAGTCTCGCTCCCGTAGCGACGTGGACCTGCAGTCAACCTCTACCTCTCACCCCCTCTCACCCTCCCCACAGCATTCAGTCTCGTAAGGCAAAGACTAACCATCACTCACACTTAGAAACACTCATACACACACTGTCCACAGGAGACAGCAGCACAAGGGGCTTCTCAGTCATTTTTTGTACAATGCTTAACGCGTACAATGCTTTTAAATTTTTTCCCTTCATTTGTCTCTTAGTGCAGAAGGTGGATTGTTGCCTGACGGCCTCGTCACTGGTCCTGCTTTTGTCTCAGTCATTTTTTGTACAATGCTTAACGCGTATGTATACCTTTTAAATTTTTTCCCTTCATTTGTCTCTTAGTGCAGAAGGTGGATTGTTGCCTGACGGCCTCGTCACTGGTCCTGCTTTTGGCCCCTTCCCTCAGCAGGAGGAAATGGAGCCCCGTCTCCTGGAGCTCGAGCAGGACCCGCCCAACTGGAGGGACCTTGCTTCTCCCGAGGACCTGAAAAAACTGAGCAAGAAGGAAATCAAAAGACAAGAAGTCATCAATGGTAATACAAGCAAGAATGTTGAAAAACTATTTGTACGTAAATAAGTGCCTTATTTTGTGTAATCTGCTATGAAGCAGGGTGCAATGATGAACATATTTTTTCTCTGTGTCTGTCAGAGCTGTTTACGACAGAGCACGCTCATGTCCGTATGCTGAGTGTATTGCAGACTGTTTTCTCTCGTCCGCTGGAGAGGGAAGAGATTATGAGCATGACTGAGCTGGCCACCATCTTCCCCAGCCTCGATGAGATCATAGAGATGCACTGTACGTATCCACTTCAAATATATTAATGCACTGAAATCTGCATGGCTTTAAAAGATTTTGATGGTCCTTCAAATTATGAACAGCCTTGAAATAGCTTAAATCCATTCTTTTTCTAGATGCTTTCTATGAGAACCTGAAAAAAATGCGGCAGGAGGATAAGTACATTGTCAAAATCATAAGCACGCCACTTCTCAACAGGGTAAGTAGCTTAGAGTGTGCTAAATGCTAGTTTTTCATGTTCTTTCTCAACACTGTGTCATTCAGCATTTCAACTTGACAACATGAACTTATATTAGCTGTTACACGAATAGACGTGTCTCTATCTCTGTAGTTCAGTGGATCAGAAGGAGAATGGTTTCAGAAGCTCACCGCACGCTTCTGTAGCTACCAGTCCTGGGCTCTGGAGCAGATAAAGAGCAGACAGAAGAAGGATCCCCGTTTTAATGCTTTCATACTGGTACATTTACACTTAAAACACTGTTTTCCATGATATTGCAACTGTTCGCCAGTCAACATTTCTGGAGGCTAGGCATCTCAAAATGTCTTTAATGAAATGTTCTGTGTTTGTGTTGTAGGAGGCAGAGAGTAAGCCACAGTGTCGGAGGCTACAGCTGAAGGATATCATTCCCACCGAGATGCAAAGACTAACCAAATATCCTCTTCTGCTGGAAAACATTGCCAAGAACACAGGTAAGTGTTTTAAATCTAGTCCTACTTTATTTCCATAAAACCTTTTGTGCCAATTGTGCAAAACACTTGCTAAACCATTGCAAATTGCAAAGTAAATAACACATTAAATAAAAATATTACAAATATAAAATGATCAGTTTAACACATTGATTTTCTCAATTAAATCAAATTCACTTGAGTTCAAAAGTTTGGGGCCAGTAAGATATATACTTACTGTACTCTATACTTTTTTATATACTTTTATTTCACTACGATAATCATTTAGCATGATTGAATTGATCAGAATTGATAGTAAAGAGTAAAGACCTTTACATTGTTACAAAAGATTTGCTGTTATTTTAAAAACTCAATTCATCAAGGAATCCTAAAAAAATGTATCTCGGGTTCCATAATTCTGTTAAGCTGTAGAATTGATGATAAAAAGCTTTACTTGAATCAAATCAGCATATTTGAATGATTTCTGATGGATCATGTAACACTAAACACCGGAGTAAAGGCTGCTGAAAATGTTTGCCATCACAGGAATAAATAAGCATTAATAAATAAGCAAACAAAAGAAATGCAATATATTAGACAAAAACTGGTGTATAACCAATGTCCATTTCTCACAGATGATAAAGCAGAAAAAGAGAACATTAACCAAGCAGCAGAATCCTGCCGTAAGATCCTCAACCATGTCAATGAAGAAGTCAAACTCATGGAGAACCTGCTGGTGAGAATTCAGTAGAAGTTCCTTCAGATTAATATGGTCTACTGTAAGGATGTGTGGTATGGCAGTATCCAGGCATTACTACATTCCAGCATGTTGTGATGTATGTATTTAGCATGATACTGTATTAAAGAGATAGTTCACCTAAAAATAAAAATTCAGTCATTAATTCCTCACCCTCGTGTCATTCCAAACCCGTAAGACATTAGTTTATCTTCGGAACACAAATTAAGATATTTTTTGAAGCTATGAGAATAATTTTTGTGCGCAAAGTAAGCAAAAATAATGACTTTATTCAACAATTTTTGTTTTCATTGTGAACAAAAAGTATTCTAATAGCTTCATAAAATTACGGTTGAACCACTGATGTCACATGGACTATTTTATCGATTTCCTTACTACCTTTTTGGACCTTGAAAGCGGTAGTTGTGTCTTTGTCTATGGAGGGTCAGAAAGTTCTTGGATTTCATCAGAAATAGTTCATCTTCGGAACACAAATTAAGATATTTTTTGAAGCTATGAGAATAATTTTTGTGCGTAAAGTAAGCAAAAATAATGACTTTATTCAACAATTTTTGTTTTCATTGTGAACAAAAAGTATTCTCATAGCTTCATAAAATTACGGTTGAACCACTGATGTCACATGGACTATTTTATCGATTTCCTTACTACCTTTTTGGGCCTTGAAAGCGGTAGTTGTGTCTTTGTCTATGGAGGGTCAGAAAGTTCTTGGATTTCATCAGAAATATCTTAATATGTTTTCTGAGGATGAACAAAGGTCTTACAGGTTTGGAATGGTAAAAGGATGAGAATTTTCATTTTTGGGTGAACTTTACCTTTAAATTGTTCATACTGTGATATAGCCCACCCTATATGGATCATAATCTCTAATATGCATTTTCCCAACCACCACTCTCATTTTTTTTCTCCTAAATATCTGCCCATCTTCAACTCAGATTTTGAAAGACTACCAGCGCCGGCTGGACACCTCAGGACTGAAACCGAGCAATGACCTCTACAGTGAGTACAAGGTGAGAAATATCTTAATGCCTCATGTGTATGTTACTAATGCAGACACTCTGGGGCTGAAATGATCCACTCTTTTCTTTGTTCATCAGAACATTGATCTGACCACCAGAAAGATGCTGTTTGAAGGACCTCTGACATGGAGGGTGACCAAGGAGAAAGCGATCGGTAACCCCCGTCGACACATTCCCCAAATTACAATTACAATGACAAATTAGTTTATTTGCTTTCAGTGCTTCCATAATCAAGAATTCAGCCTCTTACTTACCCTATTTTTGTGTGTATTTGTAGATGTGCACTGTGTTTTGCTGTCAGACCTGCTGGTCTTGCTTCAGAAGCAGGATGATAAGATGGTTTTGAAGTGTCAGAGCAAAAGCAACATCGCCGTTCAGGAAGGCAAACAGATGCTGAGTCCAATCATCAAACTAGAATCTGTTTTTCTCAGAGACGTGGCCACTGGTGAGTGAGTTTCAGTGAATTAGCATGTTGTATTCTGAAGAACGTGAGTCTGATATACAGTTACTTTTGTTCTTTCCATCAGACCCAAAGGCCCTCTACGTCATCTTCACCTGGGACAGCGGAGCACAGATCTATGAACTAGTGGCTCAGACCGCCGGGGAGAAGAAAAAGTGAGTGTGTGAACCATATAAAGCCATTTCAATGAAACACTTATCCGAATGACTGACAGGCAGATCATATGAAATCCTGCTTCAAAATTGAAATCCAAAACATGTAATTTGACACTCACAGTCTGTTTTATGCTCCAGTTGGACAGAGGTGATTAAATCTACGGTTGACGAGTTGAAGAAGAGGGGCGGGAATAAGCTGAAAAGAGACAGAGGTGGCAGCATGCCCAGCAGCGCCAGTGGACCTGCATACAGCCCGTGAGTGTGTTTTTGGCAAATAGCAAGGCCCCGTAAGAGTAATCGGGCATCCTTTTGAAGGTGGCATTGAACTAGCAAACTCAAAGCTAACTTCAGTCATTAAAACTCTTTCCATTTCTTTTCTCCAGTTTGCAGCCCCCTCTTAGCCCCACTGAGAACGGAGGAGACCTGTTGAAAAGTCGCGGTGGTGAGACTTTTGGCTCTTGGAAACAGATATTAAGTCTGTCCAAGTAATTTTACCGTGGTATTATAATGTGACTGTTTTATTTCACCATAGGGCGATTTAAAGACAGTTTTACTGATGAGAAGAGTAGAGAAACTGATTCTTCACTCATAGACTACCTAGCGGCCAATGGTTTTGACCTGCTCAGCCATAGCCACGCTCCTCCAGAGAAGTCTGCTATTGGTGCTTTGGATGAAGGTCAGAATGTGTCATTTTATGCAGGTCAAGCAGTGAACACATACAATTTCATGCTGTACTTATTCTTTTTTTTTGCTTGTATACCTCTCACAGTCATGTATTTGAAGAGGCTATTGGTCGGGAGTATTAGTCTGTCAGATGACTCTCAGACTCTTGGGGAAAATGGAGGGACGGCCCCTGAAACCCAGGAGGCAGATGGTCAGTCGTCAGGAACTGCACACATATTGCTTCAGGTTTATAACTGACGAGGTTCAACCTCACACTTAATCATAGTACAGCAAGTACAGCTGTGCTGAATACCTGGAGTTCCTGAATAAGTTCAGCATGCAAAAAGAAGAAATGTACTTAAAAGTCTTACAAACAGCCTGTCATTTATTCAAATTCTAAAAGAGAAGATGGAAGACGGTCATACATTTTGATATTGAGATCCCCAATGCTTTTTTCCCTCCTTAGTGGAGGAATCCAGCACAGAAGGTAGAACTGAAGGAGAAGAGAGTGGGGGAGATGGAGGGAATAAAGACTATTCTGTGTATTTGGGCTTTGATTTTATATGTAAGATACATAAGAAAAATGTAGGTAATTTTTTTTTTTTTTTAATAAATGATCAAAAATGAGCTTGTATTGTTTTTGTTTTTAACAGCATTTGGTTGATATTAACAGATTACCACATTATCCAAAAAAAGAGAAGAATGTACAGAGGTTGGACTAAATAATGTGAACATTCATTATTATGGGGTTAATATCATTTATACTGGGTACAGTAAAAAAAATCCAATTATCTTCCAATAATCTTTATCCAGTTATGATGTCTATATTCTCTAGTTTGTGTATAGTATAAGTTGTTTAGTACAAATTGTGGGGAAAATGGGTGACTTATGACTTCCAAAAATGAATGAAAAATGATGGGAGTCTGTTTAGCCGGAGCGTCTGTAACCTTAACGGCCCAGTTTGTTTGGTGTTTTACGAACAACAGTCTTTATGATTATGACTGCGTACACAAAGCATGGCAAGACTAATCAGAGAAGAATAATGGATGAAAACTGAAAGTGAATGATCGGGGCCAAACAATGCAGAACTTCTGCAGCAGAGTGTCAGCAAGCTTCCAAATTCACCTTGAAGACCATGTTTCCACAAAAACTGACTACTGTAGGCAGTTTTGGAGATAATGGTGAGAAGCAGATTCCCTCCTCCAACATCTGTAAAGCAACTGGCAGATGTTTTTGTAGTCAACGTTAAACTAGAGACTATTCAAATGTTCCTTTCTAAGAAGATTCAAAGTTGTTTTAAAGGCAAATGGTGGTAAAGCACCTGAATGTTCACATTATTTTGTCCAACCCCTGTATTTGCGTGTGTTCACCACAAACTGAAATAGAAGAATGGGTGGGTGCATGATACAGGGAGAGAAAACACTTGAACGGCATATTTACTGATGAGCAGCAAGAGGGTTTTTGAAAGGTTATCTGGTCATTTTCTTGTGTTTCTGGACAGGTAAGCATTAACATATAGTGTGTATGTAATGTTAGTTTTATTGTACAATTCTAATATTTGTTAAGCATTTGTTATAATTAACTGGTTTTATAGTAATCTAAGCTCTCTTTGATCACCAAAAAATATATGTAGGCCTATATGTATAGAGAAATTTAAATTTAGTTTTTCGACAGCATACCATTTCAAATTCAGCAATAAACTTTTTATCTCCAACAAAAGAATAAAGTACACAAAGTTTCCATCTGCAAGTCTATGTTCTGCTTCAGTGAAGCTGATTTCCTCTCAGAGCAGCTGTTACAATTTGCATCTTATTGCTACCAGTCTAGATTTTTCACCAGTTTTTACATCTTTGTCTTTTTCAGTGTGACTTACAATTTTAAGGGTCTAATTTAACTTTACACTGTATTAAGTAGCTTTTCACATGACAAGTCTTGTCTATACAGCTTTTTGTGGGTGGGAAGTGTTCAGTTTAGCTAATAGATTTAAACATGCCGATATCATGTGGATTGAAGTTAATGCCCCTTGGGGGGAAATTAAAGATATATGTTGAGCTGCTTTTATGTTAGAGGGTTTTAATCACATATAAGCAAATCTTAAAGAAACCCCCCACTGTGGACTGTTTTACACTCAAATACTTTTTTGTGCTGTTGTATCACCCAATGTTAGAGCATATTGTTATATGGTTTTTGGTTTTATTGTCCTTAAGTTGTTGCTAACACTGGTTTTGAAGACCTGAAACTGGAGGCAGATAAGCCGTTGGTGCGTGTGCTCTCTTCCGTGAAGCCACCATCCGCTGCTGCTACCGCTGGAATAAGAGTCCCCATGTCACCTTGATCATGAATATTCACACCACCAATGGAACCACAATGCTCAGCTTAGTAAATCTGTCCAACAATCTGATGAACAAGACAACAGAACTGACAGATGGAGTCACATGCCATTTGCTGTTTTTCAAGAGGCTCCGTCTCAATGATACCAGCTTGTACCAGTGTAAACTGAATTATAACTCTCTTCACATCTTTACCCATGGTACCTTTCTTCAAGTATACAGTGAGTCAGACCACAGTTATATGTTTAATATGCTTAATTTTATTTCTTGTCAGTTTCACTGTTCAAAACAAAAACAAAAAAATCAAATAAGTGCAGTCTCGCTCACCAAGACTGCACTTATTTGATCAAAAAATACAGTAAAAAGAGTAATTTTGTGAAATATTACAATTGACTCAATTTAATTTCATCAGCCATTGCTCTACTGAACCTTCTTTTGGTGCTCAAGAAACATTACTTTTTATTGAAACAGTGAACTTTTTCCCTGGATTCTTTGATTGATCGAAATTTCAAATGAACAGCATTTGAAATAGAATTACTTTTGTAACAAAGTCTTTACTGTCACTGTTGATTAATGTATTGCATCCTTGCTAAAAAAAAAAAAGTATTATCTTTCAAAAACAATCTTACTGCCCTCAAACTTTTGAACAGTAGTCTATAATAAATATATAATAAATACTGTATATACACTTACAGTTATGCATTTTAATGTAATACATAATCTGATGTATAGGCCCACTGTCTACCTATTTATTCTTAATTGCATAAATATGAAAGTCACAAACATAGCAATGCTTGCACTCATGCTCTCTAAGAACATTGTGCAATAATCCCCACAAATCATTCAATTGGCTGAGTTAGGCAAACACAAATAACCCATTCAATGACATAAACCCAAATTCCTCTCATTCATGCTAAGTTTGTGTTACTTAACTCTCTTTATATACACACATGCAAGTTTTACTATCAGAGGAAGTGAAAGTTTCAGCTCTTTTGGCCTCTATTTTTGTCTGTTTCATTTTTCTCTTAACTTTTTTAAGACAATGGTCCATGGTCAGTTTGATCTACTTGTCATTTCTGAAAAGTCTTCAGGTCTCTTTAATTAGAACCATTGCAGAAGACCTTGAACCTCAGCGAGAGTGTGAAGAACAGAATCATTACAGCAGAAGGGGTGTTGCTGCTGATGTGTGTGTCGATCCCTGGCACCATGCCCCTCTGTAAGGTCAGACACACTGATCGTGTAATGTTGATTTAATGTTGATTCTGCATATTGGATGCATTCCAGACAGAAATCTGCACCACAAACAACATTAAACAAACAAATAAATAAAGTGATTCCATGATGATGATAGACGTTCAACTTTATTCCTCTAGTCAAAGAGGCTGAATGAACTGGAGAGGAAGAAAGGAAGGGAGGAGGATAATATCTATGAGGTATGTCTATTCCCACTACATTTTCTTTTCTTATTAGCATGCTGCGTATTCACAAAAGTGACCTTCAACAGGGTCTAAACCTGGATGACTGCAACTCAGTTTACCATCAAATTCAACACACCAATCAGCAAGGCCCCTATCAGGATGTGGCCAACTGTGGAGAAGACATTCAACTGGAGAAGCCATAGCTGGAGCTGGAGAAACAGGAAAAGGAACCAGAAAGACAGTCAAGGGAAAAGTGAACTCTGTGTAGGCCTATTACTTGTCGTAATTTCATGAGCCTGCTGTCAATGTCTTTGCATCTCTTTATTAGTTTGAAGATAAGCTTGTTTGTATTTGATGGGCAGTACTATGAAGTGATAGGTGCTTTGATTATTCTCTGACACGTTATTGGCTGTAGATTTTGATGTGGGCGTGACCGCCTGTAAGGTAAATCCAGACAGAACAGAGGGGGAGGTAATCATTCGTGTTTGAGGAAGATGGCGTCTGCGAAGAAGTCTGGGAGCGGTGTTCTTGAAAAAGCAGTAAACAGAAGACGCTCGTCAAAACATAAAGAGGGTCCAATAGGTATATTCTCATTTAATAAACATAACCGCTTTATTTGGGGGGCGAGTTGTCACTTGTAAATGGCATTCGCGCTCCGGGTTAGTTAGTTCCAGAAGTGTCAGAAGATTAAAGCCCGAGCGCTTACTGTACTTTAATACTGGTACAATGTAGCACATCGTATGAACACTGTTATTTCCTTACTAATATGTAAACATAGGTTTTAAAATGTCTCATATGTTTGCCAACAGGTTTGAATTACGTTTGAACTATGTTGTGCTATGCAATACGTCGGCTACGGTAACTGTAACACTGTAGTGTAGTGTTGCAGTTATGCATTAATGACATTTCTAGTTAAGGATGACAATTTATTCAAAGTGTGTTGACAGCACGTTTTAGACAGGAGAGAATATACATACTTTTGAATGACGTGAGTATTTGCCTAAACTTTGCTGCAATACATCAAGATATGCTTTAGGATGCCTGACTCATGAATGATCTAGACTGACGTCTGTCTGTGTGGTTTTAAGCTTATAATCACAGTAAATGTGTATAGTAAGTGTAGATGCTCTTAAAGGGATAGTGCACCCAAAAATGTATCATTTACTCACCCTTGTGTTGTTCCAAACCTGTATGACCTTCTTTTGTTTTGTGGAAGGATGTTTTGAAGATTGTTGGTAACCAAACCATTTTGGTGACCATTGACTTCCACTGTATGGATAGAAAAAAACACTGAGACATTTACCAAATTATCTTAATTTCAATCATGACAACTCTCGGAAGATTTTAGCATGGTGATGGATATGACAATGTTAAAGGGGTCATATGATGTTGCTAAAAAGAACATTATTTTGTGTATTTGGTGTAATGAAATGTGTTTAATATGCGGTTTAAGGTTAAAAAACATATTATTTTCCACATACTGTACATTATTGTTTCTCCTCTATGCCCGCCTTTCTGAAACGCGTCGATTTTTACAAAGCTCATCGGTCTGAAAAGCGAGGTGTGCTGTGATTGGCCAGCTATCCAGTGCATTGTGATTGGCTGAATACCTCAAGCATGTGACGGAAATGTTACTCCCCTTACCATACTGTGATGCTGTGTCCCGGAGCGACAAGACAAAAACCCATTATAAATTAGGCATTTGTTGCATCCAGTGGGGACATAATTAGGGATTATAATGACTTATACTGTCTTTTTACGCGTTGCGTTGTATCGCGCCGCTTAACCATGTCAGCATTTGTGATCGGAGAAATGACAAACAACAAGTGCTACTCTACACTGCTCAAAAATTTTGATTTTGAATTTGCAAATTCTTTAAATATGAAAACGTACTTACAGTCTGAGAGTCAGAACAG